TGAGTATTAATAACTTACAGTCCTATTCCTTTCATACTTAAGGTGCTGCAGTTGGATCTAATCCATTTAGTTTCATCTGTAGTGCTATATCAAATAGGTAGTCATAACATTCAGTCCTAAAAATCCAAATATTTTTAATACATCGAGGTAAGAACATTTAGACGTGATAAATTATTAATACAGAGTACACAATACATACATAGTTTTCGCTTGCTGCCACGTATCACCCCAAACATAAACACCATGCCTCCTTACTAATACAGCACAGGTCTCTGGGTAGGCAAGAATAGTCTTATCCAATTCATCTTTTAAATCTTCTTCAAAAGGCGTATTCTCTATTATTGGCACCACCAATTCTTCATCATAGCGATACGCTCTTCCCAATTTTTGATTTCTTATACCTACATTTCATACTATTTATTTAATAATTATAAAAATGATTAGCATGTGATGATGGTTGTTTTATACCTTTTATCATTTCAAGATATGTTACACGAAATTCTTTTCCGGGCCAGTGTAATGTCACCATTACAGCGAACTTGGAATGCGTATGAATTACAGCTCCAGCATTTCTTCTTATGTAGGCACACATAAATAATGGTGTACATTGCGACTTTTTTAATTTTTTCTCCTTTGGTGGTAATTCTAAGTCATTTCCACTGATATCTTGTACAAACAGTTCATCAGAACAAATTCTTTCTTTCTGTACACTAGATGGGGCAATGTAAATTCTACCTCTACAAGTATAAATAAACAATAACAACATTCAAATGAATTAAATTTAATGTAGAAAAAATATTGCTCACTCATGTTTAATGGATATTCCACCACCTGTACCAGTTACCCATCCCAAATTGTAAAATTGTTTACACAGTTCAGGAATCAAAAGTCGTGGATGTTCCTAAACAATAAAAGTTACTGCCATAGTTGTACATTAAAAATAATATTAATAAGTGACATTTTTATAGTATTTATGTACTTTAATAATACAGTACCTTGTCGTATTTAATTTCTTGCGAGGACATTATGATCAATTATGCAGAACCTCGTATAAACTTCGCTGTTCTACATGGCTCTTATCCTTTATCTTGATCACGATACACGCACGTGCATGATAACTGATGATGTGATGATAACGCATATACGTTGCCGTAGAATGTAGTCCCTGTTCTACGTTCTACCCCAGTTCTATACTTAGGTTGAGGACTCAATGGACGGCGCTGCGGACGACATTTCTCATGCAAATACCGCACAGCCACAGCCGACTTACAGCGAATTCTAATTATGACATTAATCTGTATATAATAAAATAGAAATCAATTCAGAGCTTCTAACATTTAATGTGGATCAGTTTGAATTTTTAAGGATCAATAAATTTAATAAAAAAACAAGAAAATTGCACTTTTGCTTTCCTTATTTAATTTCCACCAGATGGCAACAGCGTTCCTTCTTGGCGTTTGCTAAATTTTCAATGGTTTTCGAGTAAAACAGGTGTTTATGTATTTAAAGAGCGAATTTATTAAGAAGTATATTTGAATCTTTTTAATAACGCCTGTAATTCACCAACCGTATTTCTCTTTTTGTTTTCACTTAACATATGTTACAGCGATGTGAGAAGAATATATCAGATTATCGAAGTGATAGAGATTTGACATTTTATGTTGCTTTTACGAACACGTGAATGAATTACAGTTTAATAGCATAAAGCATAATGGATACGGTTTGTCTGTTAAATGCACTAATGTTGATGCGATCTGTATTATAACAAAAAATTTGTGTAACATTCCGGATATGTGCAATGCGTCTATTGGTATCAAACGTATTCTCACGAAATTCTCGGCAGAGAAACGCGAAATATCCATCTCTTAAAATGTAAGTATACTTCTCTCGAATCGCTTGTTAATGCACCCTTCGGAACTTTTGTCTTTTCATTTTGTAATCCTTAATTTTTTTTTACAGCATGTATTACAATTCTTTTCACACACACCTACATGTGCAATACATACAGCTGTGTAAAAAGTTTCAATCCACCTTGAATAATTATGCAGAACTATTTTTGTACAATTACTTCTCTTTTCTATCGTAATTACCGCCGCTTTTATTTCATACGTAAAACTCCAGCTTTTGGATACTATCATTTGAACGATAACATTCGTTGATATATGCATTACTAATTTCTACTTTTATGGGATAGACATTTTTTGCATATCAAGAATCTTATACTTCTTCCTATTTCCTTCTATTTATTAGTACTTTATTATTGTTTCATATTTTTCAAAGTATATAAACAATGTTTGTAATAAATTCAAATTTTTTTCTGTTAGAAAATGATTGTATCCTTTATCTTAAAACTTAACTGTTTAAATATTGTAATGAGTGTATTTAAATCATGTATAATAAACAGATGAATATACCATGCACATGGTAACAATATATGATGTTATAATCAAAGATGTCAGTTCTTGAGGATCAACGCTTCCTCTGAAGTGTTTAAGTTCAAGAGGCCTGCTTAGGCACAATGAAAGCCATTGTATCAATTACATTGATAGCGCTACTACATTAATACATACAGCTGTGTAAAAAGTTTCAATCCACCTTGAATAATTATGCAGAACTATTTTTGTACAATTACTTCTCTTTTCTATCGTAATTACCGCCGCTTTTATTTCATACGTAAAACTCCAGCTTTTGGATACTATCATTTGAACGATAACATTCGTTGATATATGCATTACTAATTTCTACTTTTATGGGATAGACATTTTTTGCATATCAAGAATCTTATACTTCTTCCTATTTCCTTCTATTTATTAGTACTTTATTATTGTTTCATATTTTTCAAAGTATATAAACAATGTTTGTAATAAATTCAAATTTTTTTCTGTTAGAAAATGATTGTATCCTTTATCTTAAAACTTAACTGTTTAAATATTGTAATGAGTGTATTTAAATCATGTATAATAAACAGATGAATATACCATGCACATGGTAACAATATATGATGTTATAATCAAAGATGTCAGTTCTTGAGGATCAACGCTTCCTCTGAAGTGTTTAAGTTCAAGAGGCCTGCTTAGGCACAATGAAAGCCATTGTATCAATTACATTGATAGCGCTACTACATGGGATAAACTCAATACCCATCAATGCCAGGAAATGTGCAAGCAGAAAGAAAAACATTGATAATTTTCCATTAAAACAAAATATACCCAGTGTACCTGAAAGTTTACCCAACGATAGTAATGTAATTCATTCTTTAGTGAGTCTTATCTGCTTTTCACAGTATTTTGTTCAGTAAATTAACTATAGTTAAAATAAAATAATTCACTCGTTTTTATAGAAAGATGATGATATTAAGTTTGAAGAGTGCACCAATTTCTGCCATGCTTTGTGGCAGGAAGAAAAAACTGCAAATGGAACAGAAATTATAATTTTATCTCAAGGTACATACTACATACTGTATTAGTACATAGGATGTTGTTATGACACATGTACATAGGGTGTTATATATCAGTATATAGGGTATTGTTAAGACTTCGTTTATTAAGACCTTTCCAATTATTTTGATACCACATGTCCCAATGTTTGATATCAACTTCAAAGACATTCTGTGTGTCATATATTATTATTAGTAGTAGTATAGAACATACATTTTTATATCATCTTTTTTTTATTTAATACCACAGGTTGTTGGAAACAGTCCGGGGAACAGAAATGTGAAACAACAGAATGTATTGCTCTTCAACGTTCTACTAAAGCATTAAATAATACAAAATTTTGTTGTTGCCATGGGGATTACTGTAATCTCAATATTAATAGTACTAATATCATATACTCTGAGAATAATGTACACAGCTCTACGCCTGCAGAAAATAATCAACCAAGTAAAATCACATGATCTGCAAACATAATCTCTACTTATAATATTATTTTATAATGATTTTAATGAAACTTTGTAGCAGTCGAACATCTAGAGCAATCGGATTCTGTGAGATGGATTGTTATCATGGCAAGCGTTCTACTATGCATGTCATCGATAATATGTTTCGTTTATTATGTAGTTATAATGGACCGTGTATATCACATCAATATGTTAGCAAGATTAGGAATACCACTTCCTTATTCAGATCAATATATGGATAGCACAGCATTAAGAACTGGTACTTATACAGTAGATCACTTGAAACTTACAACAATTGTAGGTACGTTCTTTGTTAATTAAATTACACACGCGGTAAAAATAAACGTTTCCGTAAACTGTCATGTATTTTCAGGACAAGGCCGTTATGGGTCAGTATGGCAGGGCAGTATGGGGGATCAAGATGTTGCTGTAAAAATATTCCCTTCCCATTATCGTAATTATTTCCAAAATGAACGAGATACTTATTGTCTTCCATTTATGGAACACCCGTCTTTATTAAGTTATTATGGTTAGTATCTTCTTTCTTTTGTAACTATGTATTGGAACATAAAAAATAAATGCATTTGTAATCCTCAGGTGTAGATGAAAGAATTAGTATGGAAGGTAGCGTTGAATATCTGTTGGTACTTAGCTTTGCACCAAATGGTACTTTGTCAGATTTTTTGAGATCTCGTACAGTTGATTGGGCTACATTTTGCAAAATGGGTCTTTCTATGGTTAAAGGACTTGCTTACTTACATACCGACATACATAAAGGTGGTACGTAAATAAATGTATAACCATAGTACAAGTAAAGATAGTTTCAAGAAAGTCATTGAATTTTACAGACAAGTTTAAACCGTGTATCGCGCATAGAGATATTAATTCAAGAAATATATTAATCAAAGGAGATGGCACTTGTTGTATATGCGATTTAGGATTAGCAGTTCAAATCTCTGGTTCAAAATATTACGCAAATGGAGAGGATCAACACGCTGAAATAAAATCCATTAATGACGTAAGACGACATACATTAAATGCAAATTAGATTAAACTGTTAAAACGAGTTGTAATTATTATTTCGATCATCGAAATAGGTCGGTACTTTAAGATACATGGCGCCAGAAATACTAGAAGGTGCCGTGAATTTACGAGATTGCGAGAGCTCATTAAAACAAATAGATGTATATGCGATGGGTTTAGTATTATGGGAGTTAGTCTCAAGATGTTCGGATATTTATGTATCGGGATCAGAAGTACCGCCTTACAGGCTACCATATGAAAAAGAAATCGGTCTACATCCGACGTTTGAACAAATGCAAGTTTTAGTTTCACGCAATAAAGCGAGACCATTGTTAGAAGGAAATTTAGTGGACAGGCCAGGTGTGCGTTTGATTAAAGAAACAATGGAAGATTGTTGGGACGCGGATGCTGAAGCTCGGCTAACTGCTTTGTGTATAGAAGAACGTCTTTCAGAGTTGCAATCTCATCGTGGTAAATTTCATAATATGTATTATCTTGTTCAGAAAGTAGAGGTCATAGTAACTTCCAAAATTTTCAGTTATAATACATTTTGCCGACGGAAGTCCAATGGTAAATTCCCATTGCACTTTAGTGCCTTCAACTGCAAACAGTCTTTACAGCGAGTCTTCATATCATGATAACGTCCATGGATCTCAACATGCATCGCATCCAGTACAAGACGGTACAAGTAATGAAGGCGGTATCGTTGAGAACTTAGTAACATTATCACCATCCGAAACCATTGTCCACGAGCACAGTTGTAAGTGTTCCATAATATTTTATACTAAATATATTTTATTTTATAATATAATTTCTTTTACTATGTTTCAGTTAAAAATTCGAATGAAGTAGCGATTTATAATCATACTCAGACACTCCAACCTTATCAAGGAAGAAATCCTTGTATGGAAAGAAATTTAATGTTGCAGTCTGATTCGTTTGAAGACTTAGGATGCAACGGCAACATACTTGTCGATAAGTCGATGAAACATGCTTGTAACGATCAGTACAAAATCGTCTCCGAAGCACAAGGACTCGTATCTCATGATTATTTGAGTCAACATACAACACAATTAACTCAATTAAGACCAGCCACACCTATACCATACGTTCAAAACGTTATATCGGATGATGGTACGTCATATGGTAAGCGCAAACAAACGAACATGCACGAATCTTGTTCGCAGGAAAGTCCTAGAAAAAAATTGTTCGGTTGGTCAAACTTCAAGAAACTGCTCGTTAACAGAAAGATGTATCCGTACAATAAGTATCAAATAGATAGAGAGGATTCGAAATCTAATTTATTGTCGAAACAGAACGTGCAGATAAAAACTGTAGAAACCAACGTAACTATATCCCCGGGAGGGAAATACGTGAATGGTATTATCACTAAAACGCCTGCTTTGAATTCTACGCTAGATAAGAATGATAAGAACGCCATACAAGTTAATAAACAGAAAATTGATGACGATAATACGAACACTCGACCGTCTACGTTGCCTCTTGTGACTTTAAGAAATAAAAAGGACGAAAATATCAGCAGACAGGAGAGCATAGACAAATTCAATGAAGTATTTAACGTAGGGTCTAATGTGAACGTATTGAAGGATCCGCATATGAGAATAAAAACGCCGGGAGATTTGCCACCGTCCGTGAGGAAGATTCGTGGTCGGGGACAATCGACCGCCAGATTTTCTCTTTATGACGACCGTATGATGTGCAATATTTTGAGTGAAGAGGACGACCGAAGTGATAAAGCCATTTGGAATTCGGTACCATTTGGTATGGATCTCGGCGACAGCGATGACAAGCATTCACCGACTAAATTTAATACCAAAAACGTTACATGCTTTTAATCGTAATGTAATTATAAGGATTTTTTAGGTATGATTGTAGCATAACTTTAGCTTGAATGGGTGTATGTACAGAAGTATGTATGACGATAATACAGATTTTATACTCTCTCAATGGTAATGCATTATAAAAATTTAAGTATTACAGCAAGCAAAGAAAAGATATAAAAAAATGAAACGAAAAAGAAATGTACTCGAATAATATTAAGACGTGAAGGCGGGGTATTCCATAATTTATATTGGTTATTCGGTCCTTTTCGGTATGCTTTAGGCTTAAAGGATCCTCACGACTCAAGTCTGAACGTATTAGAAGGAAAATTGTGTTTTTCAGAAATAACAACTTCATATTTATAAATGTCACATTAGTATTAAAGTCTCATATGTTCAAGCTAGCAGACAAAAATTTATTAGGAATGTATTTTGATAAAAGTAATAAGCGTACAGTATAATACCGGTCGTTTACACGAATGTATCTTACATGTTTATAATTTAATGAATTATGCACAATTATTCCAAGACAATCAGTATGAATTTTTTTATGCGGGGATAGTACAATACGATTAGAATTCAGACTCTTTTTAAGCCTAAAACTTATTTTGCGTTACATTAACATACGGCAGACAATAAATGATCGAGCAGAATCAGTAGATGAGTAGGATGAGCACAAGCACGTGGTTTAATTCAAATCCGTTCGGCAGTATTCGATTACGTTCGCATTTCAGATATTGATACTAAACATAAGATTTTCGACAAATATACTTATCATTATTGCTTTACACTAACTTATATTAACTATTAATCGATAATCATGACAGTGATAACAGTTTTAAAATATAACGTCAATTTATTATCATTGTTATCTCATCGTTCGTATATGTTAAATGTAAGAGTCCTAACCTCCCATAGAATTTTATTTATTGGGCAATCGACAAAAATTTATATAATTATTTATTTTGACAGAATTCACGATTTTTAGCATCGTTCGCGAAATATGCAGAACACAAACCGTTGGAAAAAATTCGGAACATCGGTATATCGGCTCACATCGATTCAGGAAAGACCACCTTGACTGAACGTATATTATTTTATACTGGAAGAATAGAAAAAATGCATGAGGTAAAAGAAATTTCTTGTTTTACATACTATATATATTTTTTCATTCATTCATTCATTCATTGTATAACTTCATAGGTCCGAGGAAGAGATAATGTTGGAGCAACAATGGATAGTATGGAATTAGAAAGACAGCGGGGTATAACGATACAATCAGCTGCAACTTATACTTTATGGAAAGATCATAATATTAATATCATTGATACTCCTGGTCATGTTGATTTCACTGTGGAAGTGGAAAGAGCCTTGCGTGTTTTGGATGGAGCAGTGCTTGTTTTATGTGCTGTAGGTGGTGTTCAATCACAGTCAATAACTGTGGATCGTCAGATGAAGAGATACAATGTACCTTGTGTAGCGTTCATTAATAAATTGGATAGATTAGGTGCAAATCATAAGAGAGTGCTCGAACAATTAGCAGGCAAATTACATCATAATGCTGCATTTTTGCAATTGCCTATTGGTTTAGAAAGTAAGAATGAAGGAATAGTAGATTTGATACATCAAAAGGCTCTGTACTTTGAAGGGATCTTTGGTGAAACTATAAGAGAAGATGAAGTTCCATCAAACATGAGAGCAGGTATACTTTCATAAGCATAAATACTTTTGTTATTATTATTCGTGTTATTATTTTAACTGATCAAATGTACATTGTGTAAATATTTGTATATTATATACAGAAGTACAAGAAAGGAGGCAAATGTTAATTGAGCAATTGAGTAATGTTGACGAAAGTCTTGGAGAAATGTATTTAAATGAACAGAAAATAGTGGAGAAAGACATAAAAGATGCAATCAGAAGAAGTTGTATAAAAAGGTGCTTTACACCAGTACTAGTCGGAAGTGCTCTAAAAAATAAAGGTGTCCAACCTCTACTAGACGCAGTCATAAATTACTTACCAAATCCTGGAGAAGTTGAGAACTATGCTCTTCAAGAGTCAGAGAGTTCAAAGGAATCAAAGTAATTCTTTATCATATTTCATGTACGCATAAATTATTTCTTTTGAAATAATTAATTTTTTCATTTTTAGAGGAAAAATTACTAAAATTCTTTTAACATCTGAAAGAAATAATAGGAATCCATTTGTTGGATTAGCATTTAAGTTAGAAGCTGGCAAATTTGGTCAGTTAACTTATTTTCGATGTTATCAAGGAAAATTGAGCAAAGGAGAGTCGTTATATAACACAAGAACGAGGAAGAAGGTTTACCTACTGTTCATTATAGCGTAATATAAATCTTAAGTCGTATTAATTACATAAATACTGCACTTTACAGGTTCGGGTGCAAAGATTAGTGAGACTTCACTCGAATCAAATGGAAGATGTAAACGAAGTTTATGCCGGGGATATTTTCGCTCTATTCGGAGTGGATTGCGCATCGGGTGATACTTTCGTCAGCAATTCTGATCTACAATTATCAATGGAATCTATTTATGTGCCTGAACCTGTAGTGTCTATGTCTATCCACGTAAAAAACACAAAAGATCGAGACAATTTTGCAAAAGGTATCGCTCGATTCACGAAAGAGGATCCAACTTTGAGACATTATTACGATACAGATAATAAGGTAATAGAAAGAATTGTACGAAGCAGAATAGAAGAAAATTTAAGGATAACAACACGATATAATGATATAGGAATCTCTGATTTCTGGAATGGGAGAGTTACATTTGGAGATTTACTCCCAAAGACTCGAACGCGAATACAATTGTCCCGTTATTCTAGGGAAACCAAAAGTTTCGTTCCGCGAAACATTACGTCAACCTTACGAATTCGATTTTCTTCATAAAAAGCAAACTGGAGGAGCAGGCCAATATGCACGAATAATAGGTGTAATAGAAGTAAGGACTAATTGGTCTTAATGAAAACTATTAATGATTACGTTCTAATTATTTTATATCCTCCTAACATTGTTCTAGCCATTACCGGCAGAAAATAATACCGAAATCCAATTCAAAGACGAGACGATAGGAACGAATATTCCGAAACAGTTTGTTCCTGGCGTGGAAAGGGGTTTCAGAGCCATGTGTGAAAAAGGATTTCTTTCCGGTCATAAACTAGCTGGCATTAAATTGCGATTGTTGGATGGCATGCATCATTGCGTAGATTCTTCGGAACTTGCATTCTTTAACGCAGCTCAAGGCATGATGAAGGAAGCTTTACAATTTGGGTCATGGCACATTTTAGAACCAGTTATGCTGGTGGAAGTAACAGTACCCACAGAATTTCAAGTAAATATTCGTTTTGATTAAGGGATAGTATAACAAGCCTTGTTTCATACTAGATAAATAAACTTTTCTCTTCTTAAAGGGTATCGTTATGACTCAATTAACCAAACGGCATGGTATCATGAGAGATTCGGATGCAAATGAAGGATGGGTAACTTTAAAAGCTGAAGTTCCGTTGAACGATATGTTTGGCTATATAGGTGAATTGCGGTCTACCACTCAAGGAAAGGGAGAGTATACCATGGAATACATAAGATACACACCTTGTCTACCAGAAATAGAAGACCGAATAATTAGAGAATATCAAATAGAAAATAATTTAATTTCAGAACAGAAGAAAAATTAGTGAATTTACAAATTCTGTATTGTATTAATTTAAAGGATATTTCAAATTTATATGTATGACATATAAAATGTACGTTGACGTATAACGAGATGAATGAAACAGATGTAAGATAATGTATAATATAAGCATAATTATATAATATTAAAAACTATTTCAAACCAAAAAATGTCGTTAATATACGCGTAAGTTTTTCCTTTTGTTTTATTTGTCTCAATGTATTTTTGTTGAATCCAAAAAGATAGAGATAACACTTTGGAGGCGTTTTTGTCTCTCCTTCTCACATGGCGACAGGAAAGAAGAAACTCTGCCATTATCTTCTCTCTCAATCATCTGGTATGGAGTCTCTTATTTGGGTGCTCGGTCTATTCTTATATCTTTATGAAAATAATTAAGGATTTAAATTTTTTATAAGAATCGATTCTCGATTAAGTATAGTCGACGTCGTTTAGAAGATAGAGTCGTAGTCGTAGCGAAAGCGGTGGTGCTGCAGTCGCGCGTAACCATGCGCGCATCGCTGAAGCCGTGCGCCGTGCGCCGTGCGCCGTGCGCCGTGCGCCGTGCGTGATCAGTAGCCTCAGTAGACTCAGTAGCGCAGGAGCAAGTACTGGGAGTAGTTGGTAGGCGAGCAGTTTCTTTTTCTTCCCCCGAATCTGAACATCGCGCCTCGTCGTCTGAAAGACGAACGGCTGGTAAGCCAGGAAGAATACCCGACTGCCGTGCTTCCGCGTATAACGTGCCCGAAAAATGTAATATGGCGATGGTCGCGTCGAACATGAGTGGCCACATACAGAAGCAGCTCACCAGGAGTCTCGAGCGGATCCTGGAAGAGGCACACTTGAGCGGCGAGCTGAAGCTTAGCGGTCGGAAGCTTAAGGACTTCCCAAAGGTCGGGAAAACGGGATCTAGCAAATACAATCTACAGGACACGGTCATCGCCGGTGAGTTTTTTAAGCGTCTTCCACTTAAATCTCTCTTTCATTTTCAGCTTCTTTTAAAAGGGTTCGCACAAGTATAAATATAAAGTTAACAAGTCAAAAAGCAACAGTGAATACTAAAAATACTCCAAATTATTTTGAACGAAGTGTGCTAACGAGGCAGAAATCATCTTCAAATAATTCTTCCATTCCTTTTTTTAAATGAAAAATTATAGCAATAAAGCGGCAGGTTTTTCACGCATTGTTTATATTTTAAAACATGAATCTCGTAGCATCGTAGAAAAATGTAGAGAAACTATAGTGATTCTATCGTTTAAGAAATTTTAGAAAAATTGGATTAGGAAATCACTAGTAGATTTTACTCTCGATACGTTTGATGTGTTCAATCTTCAAATTCTACGTTACATAGTTAGAGTAAACCTCGAACATTCGGGTTTATGTCATATTTGCTCGCATATATGTGACGTCGAGTGAATACTTCGGATGTATGCAGTGTTGTTCAGTTTACAGCTGTGCGTACCCTTCATTCAACTTGTATGACTGAGCGTGTATTTTTTTATCAGCCGTTACTGGAAGACAATCTTGAAACATTCCAATCTCTCTTACTATTCTGATAAAAGACAAACAAACTATTGAGGCATTTGTTACCTGCTGTCTTTTTAAAGACATATAGTACTTTCTTTATGTTTTGTGTTCTATAACAATTAACAAGAAACTCTGTATAAAGTGTTACATAATAGAAGCGTATTTGCATTACGGAGCATTGCACCGCTGTGGCTATGATTATATTATTACATACATATGTGTTCGTGTTAGTAGCCGGCTGGTTATAGTGGAACTATATAACGATTGCTCGTCGAAAGTGTATGAAAAAATACATTTACATACATACAAACTCCAGTTCCGTCCTATTCGAAAGATAGATAAGCTCTAAAGTAACAATCCGTTAGGAATTGGAAATGGACTTTCATGTGCCCAGCATATGATATGGTGTTTAGAATTCGGCGAATTCTCATTAATTTAATAACGAAGTTCATTCACATTTGGAAGAAAATCTGAAAAATGAATTTTTCTCGAAGTCGAAGAAAAGATACCATATTTTCAGATATTAATGACTGACATTAATTACATTTTTGTGAACGAAATTTCGCACTTTACAAAATTGACCACTTCGAAATGAACGAGATAGAGTGACTTACGCTTACACAGGAGACGTTATCGTGACACACCTGGTGTTTCCTGTTTCCGTGATAATCTTGTATTCCACGGACATTGATATCCAAGGAGGGATTACGTGCGCAGAAGCGTAAAACTGCTCGAACTTTTGAGACTGTCGATACTCTCGGGGTGCATCGAAGATAGGAAGCTCGAGAGATTTTGTGCTATTTAGAAGAAACTTCTGCGAATATAGAAACTGATCGATCCTCTGACCTGCATTTGATTGCACGTACTATTTAGGATGCAAAACGGAAGATAAAACGATTATTCATCGCCGCGAAGATACTTCCTTTTCTTGTTTAATTTTGATAGTACATGTTTACACGATCGATTCGAATAATCATGGTTAAAAAATATACCGCAGAGTAAGTGGTACTTGAAAGAGGCTCTTTTAATCTAATCGCTGATCTGACGCTCGACTAATCCCACGAGGCAAGTGTGCTTATCAGTGCAGGTTTCATAAAACCAGATAATATCGAGAACTTTTATCGACTGCGTACACTATTGCTCATCAATCCTACAGGTTTCTAACTTTTACGGAAAAGTGTACGCAGCGATCGATAACGTCAAACGACGATCTATTTACTTTACAATGTGCCATAAATGTTTTCTTTTCGATACATGATATTGATCGAGATTTCTCCATGGCGACATCCCGTACATAAGAACATTCGTTACCATTTAGTATTTTATATCCTTTTTCTTCAGCCAAAGATAGAAATAACGTGAACATTTCAGGAGTCCAGTTTATTAAAAATAAATATCTAAGCAGAGATGAAGAAAATAAATTTGTCTGGTGTTATTGGAGCGCGTTTTAATTATCAGGACTCCGTTGCAATTAGGTGTATATTCCCTCGTTGCAAAGATACAAATGTACCGACTTCACCAGCAAACAGCGAACGCGAATTATCGGTTTTCGATGGCGATTCTTCCCTATCGAACACGAGAAAAGGGGACGAGGCAATTTTGGTGCTTGTCCCTCGATGCAACGGGGACGTGATCGACGTGGGGAACTTTTATACTCCTGTTACAATTTCGACGGGTTATTCATCCAACGGAGAGACGCGTGTCGGAGCTTCTTAACTACGAAGAACGACGATAGAAGGGGACGTAACTTCATTAAGGATCCCCATAGGTCAGTTCGACCTACGACAAAAGGGATTCGACGGGCCTCATCCCATCGTCGTCGCATCGAGTCGCGTTGAATCTATGATAAGTGGATAGGCAGCGTAGGCTAGCAGGAAAGTACTTATAACAAGGATGATTACTCATCGTTCCTGATTGTAAATGCGTTAATTAAACGTATCTCAATAAAAGATACAGTTGAAAAATATTATGAAATTTCCGTATCATTATTTATATTATCATCTATATTGCATTTATTCACGTAACGCACGGTTTTTCTTAAAAAAAATTACTTTTTAATTTGCTTTTATGCAAATAGTTTATTTTTTCACTAATAAAGAATTGTAGCGCAGTTCGATTAGAATGATAGTGCACCTACGTACAAAGTTAGCCCAGTTTAGGTTCAGATACTGATTAACATACATGAACTGGTATTTATAAAGTAACGTAGCAACGACTCTATCCAGGAGTAGTTGAGTTTCTCTACTGGACACGCGGTAGTATGCCAGTTGTTTCCATTCACCAGTGAAACTCGTGGGCACAATACCCCGTGGCGCGTCGCGTCGTCGACGCGCGCTATCGAAGAAAAATCCTACCTATTGTCTGCGGATACGCACACGTGAACGAATACGTATGTGAAAGCAAACACACGATTCGTCCTTTAGTTCCGAATAGAGAAAATGGCGAAACGAAATAAGCTAAGCCGAATGCAATCCATAGACAGGAGCGGCTGGTCAATTAGTAACTTTGTACAAATTGTTTCCTCGTTGTTAACTGCTTTCGTTCGCGCGTAATTGTACACGTGGCTAACGGGATGCGTTCGAAACGAGACGGCGGCGGCGGCGACGCGGCGCACCTCGTGGTAAAGAGAAAAAAAAGCGAGAGCTGGCCGTGCGATCGTCGAAACGATGAGCTACGGAAAAAACTTCTTATCGATTATGTCACGGTGTGCTGCGCACTTTCTTCGAGGAGAAAGAGGGAAAAAAGGGTGAGGTCCTTTTTTCCTTCCTACTCTTACCCTCGCCTCTGTTCGACATTCCTATGCGTTAACTCAGCCGTACGCGCACTCCGAGTCAGCTACTTTGCGTGTACTTTCGAAATAGTACCTACGTACCAGAGACATTCGACTTGTGGACTAGCGGAACTCCAATCGCGAAATTAGAGTACGAATTTTCTCCGACGAGACAAATATACTTGAAACGATCGATGAAAATTGATTAAATTTGTATAATATTTTGTATTATAACTATAAAAGGTGTCGTACAATTGAATTGTTAACAGAGCAGGAATTTGGGTAACTGTAGCTGCGATGCGGGAACGAACACTGTTCCTTGTTTATGCTTTATCTTTTACCGGCTCTCCCTACTGTCCGTTTCTGCTCAATCGCGACCGACTTTGCGACAGGTGTCTCTCGAGCGAGAACCGGTCGGCCGAATCGAAAACGTTTTCTTCTCGAATCGCCTGAGGCCAATTCAGTCTCGGGGTCGTCGCTACGTCTCAGGGCTGTAGGGATTTCGATTAAATCGTCGCCCTTTTCCGAACAAGAATCGCAGGAAAATCTGATAGGAATTTCAAGTTCTAACTACTGTTTAAGTGAGGAGACTAGAAAGGGTGTTTTTGCTTCATTGAAGCGTCTTGCAATGGTAACGACGATGAAGGATACCAGGAGAGGGGAAGGAACAGAGAGGATAAAGAAAAGGCAAGGGGAGAGCAGCAGCTACGATTATGGGAGAAAAGTTCCATGTCCCGAGCAATGGACTGTTTCGAGCTAAAGATAGAGACGCACTGCGCACCACAGCTGCAGAAAGACAGGGGTGCCAACAAGTCGATAAGGTTCATAACGCTATACCGTTACATCGTCCGCGTATTGCCGATGTTCCCTTATCTGCGCTCTTGTCTCTCTGCCAAAGGAGCACTCTTCGAAGATGAAGTTTCTCGAGTGTTGCTCGGAGGCATCTAATTGTAAGAGTAGTGAAATCGCCCTTGCTTCACGATCAAACGACCGCTATGGCGTTTCGTGAAGCTAAGAGCGAAGTTTTCCGAGAACCGCCGGAGCTCTTCTGACACGCGTCTCGAGAGAATCTCAAACTTTTTACGTCTATAAGTACCTACATATACATATGTATACCTTCTGCATGCTCATTGTTAGACGCAAATGTCGCGATTTCTTCTTAAAAAGTTGTGTCACGTGCGCCTGTAAAATGCCTATATTGCAGTTTATACAATACGAAACGAAGTATTCGCACAGTGCGCATAATGCGTATATTTATTACGAGTAAACAAGATTTCATATTTTAAGAAAGCTGAAAACCAGTCTACGTGAGCAGTCTGTATAAGTCTCATTTCAAGATTGTTCAATTAATAAAATACTGATACAGACGAAATACACGAATAGACCTTTCACCTTATAGACTCTTCTGCCCTACGATTGCTATACCAATACGAAAAATTAATAGCGATTCGAGCCTTTTCTGTTCATGAATAGTGCTCGATTAAATTTAAATTTTACCGAAATGATACAGGTTCGAGAATAAAAGGGATGTTATTGAGTTTCTTGCTTCTCCACAAAAGAAACAAGACGTCTGTTCGACTTTTATTTCGGCGAAATTAAATCACATCATCTTAATTCATCGTAACATTCATTAGGACACACATTAAAT